TGCTCATTTTTATTGAACTAGTATTGAAACTAGGCTTTTCAGTGGACAGAACTAGAATAAAAGAATACATTATTCTTTATACTGACACTTCCCATTCAGATGTAGGACAGAGTTAATGGTAAGATTTGACCTTCTATAGTTTTTTCCATGTTGAGAATCCTCATTTGCTAATGCATGCATCAGTGTCTCTTCTGCCATGTCGGTTTTGGGAATCTCATTCTGTAGTAGGACCTCAATAATTGACCATTAGAATAATATTCCTTGAATTATTTCATACTGAAAACAGTTTTCCATGTCCTTCTCGCTAGAAAGTCAGTTTGCTTGGCTATAAATACTTAGCTCATACTTTGTGTCTTCAGTATCTTAAATATGTTATTGTATTGTCTCCCCACATAGTGCATTATCTAAATGTTTGATAGTAAGACTTGTTCCTTTATAGGGACCTTTTTTTTTTGCATAATGACCAAAGTTTTTACTTATTATTTTTACATACAGTAGTTTTACTAGAATATGTTTCAGGTTTCATTATTGGAATGTACCTGCAACATGCAGTTTCAAATTCTTTTTTTTTTTTTTTTTCAGAAAAATGTTCTTCAGTTATATTATTAAATGTATTCTCTTTCATTGCTTTGGTTGGTTTTTGTAGGGACTTGTATAATACACATGGAATTTCTTGTGTCCTATGTTTGGAACTTTCTCTCAAATGTTTTTTAAAAATTTCTCTTTGATTTTCTTTCATTTTGTCTTCTATTTCTGTTAAGAAATTGTGTTGGTCTTGTTAGCTCTTCTGTTACTCAGTTTGGTCTTTATATGGGAAGTATTTTCAATTTTATGTTCTTTACTAAATTCTGTCACTTCGTTTCTGAGTTTTTTTTCTGATTTCAAATCGCATTTTGTTGCAGCCTCTTTCATTTTGTTAATTTCTTTTAGTGCATTTTAAATATCAGCCAACAGTTCCCATCCATTGCATAGACACACGTCTCTGGCACGCTCTCATTGGTCTGGAGAGCCGTGATGTTGTTCCTGTTTGTTTGCTTGTCTTTTATAATAATTTTGACTTCATCTTTCTTCCTTCTCATGTCTTTTTTGTCCCTTCTTTCTGGTTCTCTACTTATTCTCTCTTTGTTTTCCTTCTCTATTTGTTAGTGACTTTATGGGGGTGACACTGGTTAATAAAACCACGCAGGTGTCGAGTGCACAACTGTGTAGATATCAGTCTGCACACTGTGTTGTGCCCTCGCCACCCAACGGAGGCGTAACTCATGCAATAAAACGTACAATTAAGTTCTGTGAGCCCGCTGTTGCCACCTCCTGTACCGATGGTGCTACCCGTGGGTTTTTACGCTGCCTGGGGTTTGCGTCACCTGCTTGCATTTTGAGGTTTGTGGGGATGTTGAATACTGTGTTTTTGTGGCTGTTTTTCTATGAGCTTTGATTTTAGTATCTTAGTGGCTCTCTCTGTGGGTGGGGATTCGGGGAAGTCCCACACAGTCCTGCGCTGAAGCCGTGTTTTCGGAACTCCGTGGCTTCTCCTGCTGGCGTTGTGAGCAGCACGTGTGGACTGTTCAGTGTTTGTAGTGGAAAAGCGCGATGCTCATCTTTTACAGAAACGGGCTTTGGAGCGTCTAGATGAGAGGGTTCTCTGGCGTTGTCTCTTGCTGTGACGTCTGCATTTTCTTAGTGCTATAGCTGCGGCTCTTTTCACCACTGGCTCCTAGCGTCCTGGGGTTATTTCAAGGGAGCCTCACAGAAGAGCCTGTGTAGTGAGGAAAGTGTCAGGTAGGACATCTGTCCTTTTCAGTGATCTTGTTTTGCCATATGGTGGATGGTACCCGAAGGGGATAATTCGGAAAGGATGGCACCCCTCCCTACCCTCTGTCACCTAAGTGGGTACCTCTGATGTCACATAAATGACTCAGCTGAATGCTGATTAACGTAGAACTGAAAATGCCTCTGGAATTCAAAGTAGCTGGATAATTTGTAGAAATGACTGCCCTCTTATTTGCTTGGTTGTTTCTGAAAAGTGCTTATACTTTATTATGGGCATGAGGTGGCTGAACACAGTTAGGACAGCACTCTTCTGATAATTCTTTACTCTCCTGTTACCCTGCTGGGCGACACTTGGTCTTTTCCCACGGACACTTCCAAAGAAGTGGCTGTGGACTTAGGTTCTCTTCCGTGAGAATCACGCTCTTAGTCAGTTTCACACATTGACCCATTTGTCTTACAAATTCATCAAGTTTTTCACAAAGAGCACTTTCAGTGAAAACGGGCTTGCATCCTATGAAGTTAACACATGCACTGCTATTCCAGTTTGTAACTGGCAAGGTGCTCCTCATCCAGTCTTCATAACATCCTTCCGAGAGCAGGCGCATCTCCTCCTTTACAGGCAAAGACTCTAAAGCTCAAAAGTTGTTACTTCCATAAAACGACATGGGCATAAAACGAGGAAATTATTGATTAATTAGAATAATTATTACTACCTTAGGAAGCCTCTCTGCATGCCAATAACTCAAAAATATCTATAGGAAACATGATCACCTGTGTGTCTATTAATAAATCAGCCCCATTTAAATTAGTTACAACTCAGAGAAAACTTTTAGGAAAAAAATATTTATATTTTTGAGTGTGGAGTATATATATAGTATAAAGTAATATGCAATATTAAATAAATTTACCTGTGTTAAAATAGTCAACAAACACTGTGGAAATGTATTTATTTTTCCATTGAACTTCAGAACAATTGCTTATGATACTCTGGTGTATGGATGAAAAAGTTGAGTCACATTTAAATAAATTTACCTTGTGTTAAAACAGTCAACAAACACTGTGGAAATGTATTTATTTTTCCATCAAACTTCAGAACAATTGCTATGGTACCCTGGTGTACGGGTGAAAAAGCTGAGTCACAGTGGTGTTCAATGGTTTGCTCACACAGCTAGTCCAAGAGTCAGGATTCACTATCCTGTGTCTTCTTATTCTAGTCCTATATTCTTTCCTTTACACCTGCTACCTTGTGATGGGACCCTCAAAATGTTTTAAGGTGGCTGAATGAACCAGCTGTTACAATGTAGAGAACTGCCCACATTTGTAATAATCAATTTTATAAAGCATAATTGCTAGAGAAATGATGAAAAAGACCAAAAGGAGAGTCCAAAGATCTCAGACCTCAATTCAGCCATACGGGTCCTAAGTAGTCTTTGGGCATATAAGGGGAAAGACTGTGTTTCCCAGCAGTGAAGTGTGTGTATACTTTGTCAGTGTTTGTATATACGACCCAGATATGTGCTGAACTGTGTATGCTCTCTGCCATCCACTCTCCTGGCAGTCTTCCCGTCATCGACACATTCTGCGGACACATTCTAAGGTCGTTACCATGACTCGTGCCGGCCAAATTCTCACACACCATATCCGCTCCACGGTCCGACTCTTTCTCAGGATTCAAGGAGTCTACTGTGTCCTTCTCCTACGAGGCGAACTAGAAAGAAACATATGATTTCTGCAAGCCACATGTTTGATCGAATCGGCCCTGTCGCCTGTCCCCAGAATGGAAAGGCTGGTTCCCCTGGCCGCCTTGCTGCTCAGAGACAGCCACAAGGCAAAAGCAAAAATATGTAGAGCGAACCAGCCGCCCACGGTAACCCGCAGTCAGGGTGGCCGGGAGTTCTCATTCTGTGTGTGGTGCGCAGCCTCCGTTACCTGCTGAGCGAATCACCTTACACACCTCATTTTTTAAAATTAATTATTTTTATCTCACTTGAGGATTTTTTTTTCATTGCCGTTAGAGAGAGGAGATGGGGAGTGAGAGAGAGAGAGAGAGAGAGAGGAGAGAGAGAGAGAAACAGCATTGATTGGCTGCCTTTTCGTCCATGCCCCAAGATCGAACCCGCAACCTGGGTGTGTGCCCTGACCAGGAATCAAACCTGCGACCCTTCTATCCGCGGGACGATGCTCCAACCAACTGAGCTGCCTGACCCGGGCTACACATCATATTTTTCAGGCCCATCTCAGTGAGATACTTTTTCATGGCAGGGATCTGAAGTCGGCTACATGACAAGCTGAATACATGCATGGGTAGTGTCCCCGTGTGTACATATGTCTGCACTACAAACAAACAGCACCATATGGTGAAATCAAATTGCCTTAAGCATTTTTACTGCAGATTAAGTCAGACTTGAGTTTTCTGTGGCAGAAATAGTGCTGGCCTTAGGGCCAAGAGGGGAAAAATGGAGAAGGAGACCAGGGTTATCGGAGTGCCACTTCTTTTTGCAGCGACTCTGGCCACATGCAGCGCAGCTGCCATGACACTGTCAGCTTTACCGGCCCAGGCCCTTTCCAAGGCATGGTGCATGGGGGTGGAAGACTTTTGTTAAGTCGTAAACCTACCCTTTACCCCTGGTATGTTCTTTATCAAATACCCCTTTGAAACTCTTCTGAGCTTAATGCAGCTGTAATACGAAGTAGCCTCTGAGTGGCCTCTTCTGGACACCATGGGTCTGCTGTCACAGGCGGCGGCCACACCGTGGCCACTCACTGTCAGGAGACTTCGTTGGCATCTCCTGGGACTTTTGCTTTGTCCTCTAGCAACATAGGAAGCCAAATGGCATATAAATAACAAAATATAGGATACATATATTAGCTCGGGGGAAGTGGCCGATATTTTATTTGTTCAGAGTGGAGAAAGAAAGTATAGACCTCCCACTCCCAGTATGTCTCCACTTGACCACCAGTTCATTTCTGAACCATGTTGGACACACAGTGATTGCCAATAGAATTGGACCAGGGAGCGTTCTCAGTACGTGGAGGGTTTTGTCAGTTGCCACTACCTGTATCCAAAACCCTAACATGAAACCATCAGAGAACTACCGTTGGTGCCTGAAGAGTTTGTGTCCTCTTGGTAATAATAACCGTGCATGAATGAAATCAGCATTTGGATGGGGAAGGAATGTCCCATATTGGAAAGCAATCATCGTTTTTATACTCTGTGTGTATTTTGACAGCTTTCTGGAGACCACAGCCTATTTCTTCATGAAACCAAAAATTGGAGAGAAGGAGGTGTCCCCGAATGTTTTTTTCAGTATCTGGCATGAATTCAGCTCGGACTTTAAAGACTTTTGGAAGAAAGAGAACAAGCTCATTCTGCAAGAGAGGTAGGCTTTTTGCATTTGTACGATGGCATTTTGAAATGGGTGTTTTATTAGGTGTGATACCACAAGGGCTGCCAACTTTTATAGCCTGAACGAACAATTAGCTGGGCCCTGACCTGGGGTACCGGGTCTAAGAGGGTGCTGAGACTTGGCAGAACTCGGAGTTTGGGTAAGAGCATCGGCACAGAGGCTGTGGTGCTACCAAGAACGGCGGGGTGATGGTTTGCCAGGACAACCGTCTGGTAAAACAACTTTTCTGATGAGGAAACAAGACAAAAGCAGACCGTGTAACGGGAGTGGAGCAACCCTGGGGAGGTGATAAACCCACTCGCCTCCAGAGACCCACGGCGAAGAATAGAAAGGTAAGAAGAATCAGTTTGGTTTGGTTTTTGCTCAATTCGTGGGATAGTGTCAAAATTTCACTGTTTGTGTAAGAGTTTCTTCCAGATGTTACCGATAAACAGATGAACAATATATTTTTTTTAAAAGAGCTTTCAAGATTCTTGTCGAATTATATCACAGTTCCTAAAGCAATATCTTTTCAGGAACGAAGGGAAATGTCTCCTCTTAAGCATTGAGCTAGAGTCCCTGTCGCTGCGATTATGCAATTCCATAGAAGCATATTACATGTTTATTGGGGAAGGAAGCCCCCCCCCCCCCCGCTCCCAGGACAGCATTCCCAAATGGCTGGTTCTCGTAGGAGAATGAGAAGGAAACATAATCTACACTGTAAACCAAACACTGATATTGAAACCACTTAGTCTACTTTCCAGCATCCTCGCGTTGGCAATGACTTTGCCTTAGATCTTTAGAAAACATACATCCTAAGGGACTTTGCTCACCCTGCCACTGCATTCCACAGTTTTCTGCTGCTTATCTTCATTTTGGTCTTGCTTGCATGCAAAACCGGGATCATCCACTCCGTTTGCATTTGCCAGCCGATGCTGGTGTGTCCTTAAACCAGGTGGAATTAATTGCTAAGCTCTGTGGACCACGCACGCTCGGCCTGACTTGTGCTAACTGATGGAATTACTCAGATCCCACAACTTTATCATAGAAGAGGCTTTGCCTCCGTGGGTGTAGTTAGAAAAACAGAGCAGTTTGAAAAGGAGGAAAACATTGGAAGCATCCTCCCTAGAGATTATGAGCTTATTCTACTTGAAAATGCATCGTAGAGGTGAACGTGAAAGATCATCTCAGTTAAAAGTCAACCAAGGCAGGTAAGATAGAACAGAGAATTGCTTAAAAATAAGCACACTTGAATTGTTCATTTCCTTCAGACCTAGCTGTATGTTATCAGTTTTTTACCAAGCAAGGCTTACTCAGTTTAGAAAATTATAAGAAGGAAGCTTTTTTTTCTCGGCACATCCCATACGACTTTCATTCATGAACCTCACTGGATTCCCACCAGCCTCTCTTCCTCTCTAGCCTAAACTTGTCCTCCCATAAAAGGGCCTGAAAAGCAGTCACACGAAGGTACAAAACGGAAAGATTTGTATTTTCCCCTTACGCAGTCACAATATTTGGGATTAGAGTCTAACTGAGGGTGGAAGTGGTGAGAAATTAGGCATCAAGGGGAGGCAGATGAAGCTGTCGTTTGGGAGTGGCTGCTCTGATCAGGAGAGTGAATGCGCAGAAGGCTGGCATCCTACAGGAGAGACGCAAGGGGTCCTGGGACGGGAACACAGGTTGACACTCTAATCTCTTTTACTGCACATGCCAGCACATAGCAGCTGAGATGCCACCTTGCAGGCAATGTGGAAATTGACTAGTTCAGAGGCAGAGGCCCCGTGAGGCAGTTGTATTTGTGCGTAACACGAGCGATAACAATCTCACATTGATATTTTGTGCATTCGACATGACCAGAACTTGCTTTTCTTCACTCTCTAAGTATCTCATAACATCAAACAAACACCTCCCCCTTCTTTTGTACTTTACCCTGTGCTGTCATGTCCGAGAAATAAAATATACTGCGGGCCTTTTGAGTCACGCTTGCTGGCTTGCCTTGCATTCTGGCAGAGCCGTGCGCTGGCAGATTCCAAGCGCTCTCCACTGCAGACTTCTCGTTCTTCTAAATCAGTTCGTTTCAATAAAGGGCTAAGGAGGAACACGCGGAAGGTGAGAGTGCGCTCCTTTGCCCTTTGACGTCCGAAATATATCATGTCTCTGGGCAAATAGGCCGCTTGGAAAAGCAAGACCGCCGGTCGGAATTGTTTGTAGAAAACCACGGTCCCTTTCCTTCACGCAGGGCCAGCTGTACAGTTTCCAGGGAACGGCGCGAAGTGGAAATGCCGGGCCCCTTGGTAAAAAATTGTTAACAATTTCAACATGGCAAATCATTCAACCACGTGTAAAGCCCCTCTGAGAGTGGGGCCCTGTGTGATTGCACATGGAGTGAGCTTGCCTTAGTGCACGCCTTACATCAGACAGGAATGCATGAAGTGGCCTGGGACAGTGGTGGGGAGCATGGGTGTGGCCCGTTAAGGGTGTGGTCAGTGAGGAGGGTTAACCCTCTGGGATAGTCACTGTTTGTGTGAGTAGAACCAGAAGTAGAAATATAAGGATCCGGCACAAATATCACTGCTTTTTTGTTACAAAATCATAAGCATGCCATTCTGTAACCTAACAACATCACACTCAAGCACACCATATGACATTTCAGGTGAAGTGTTCAAACTGAAATTGTAAATGATTACATCCATGCCATTACCCTATCAGCCACGCTCAGGCAGGCCTTACTTCTGCCGGACCCTGCAGACACTGAAAATAGCATGGTGTTTCCCAGTGCGCTTGTCCCCTCCTCCATGTCCCTGCAGTACTTACTCTCTGCACACTGTGTTACTGGTTATTCCTGTATTGCCTAGTGACATGTCTTTTTTTATGTGATACTATAACTTAATATGTGGCATTTGCCTTGATCTTTATTTCCCAATGTCTTCACTTCTGGTACAGTTGTTACAGCGCTAAGCCACGGTGCCTCTCCCTTCTTAGTGTCTCCGTAAACATTTGCTGATTGGACTTGTTGCATCATTGTATTTAACAGATGTGGAAATTAGAACTCAGATTAGTAAAGTCATGAAGGTGAGATTTTGGGTTTTTTTGGCATAGCAAGTTTATTATTGAATTACTGTTGTACTAAATGATCATCCAATTATTATTAAATAATAAAATTATGATTATTTACTTGGAACCTGCCTGAGCACAGGCTCTGGCTGCAGGCTGTAAGGTTAGTCAGCTGCGTGTCTGCGCTTCTCCCTCACTGTCTGTCTTTTTGGATGTCCTCACTCCTCCTCCTCCTCCTTTCTCCCCTCTGCTCTTCCTCTCTCTCCTCCTCTCTCCCCCCTCCCTACTGTCCTCTGTAGTGTAGCTTAATTTCCAAGCCAGGCTGTTCCTTTTAAGGGTGGACCCTTGGCCATCGGTCACAGCCCTGGCTTCCACTCTCACAACCCAGAAGGAGAGAACACGCTTCACCATCTAGAAAATGCCAGGAAGTCACTTCAGATGAGTTGGCCCATCTGCGGATCCATGGCGACCTAAGGCACCATGATTAGCTGAGCAGCTGATAGTCCCGATTCTGCGCCAGAGGGGACAGTCATCCTGATTGACAGCTCCCTTCCCGGCAGAATCGTTGGAGTTAGGGAAAAGCACTTTTCTATAAAAAGTAAACAATAATCTACTACCCCTGACTTATTAAGCCTTTAAAAGTAACCCGATGGTTGAATGGTGTGGTTGAAATTTCCCTAATTAAGTTTTCCTTGCTCTAATTTGGAATTTTTCATTGAATAAGGTATTTAAAGTTTTAATATCGCATGCATTTTTCTTATCCCATTATTTCTAATTGGTGTCTGGTTATAAAATAGTAGTAATGTATTTTCTGGCTTTGTCCTGATGATCCATATGGTTTAGTAGATGTATTTCCGGAAATGGTGAATTTGCATACATCCATGTTGAAAAGGCAGGCTGTCTTTCTAATTGATGTGATTTGAAAAACATGAGGGTGGTTGAGTTACGTCTTCTACTTACTAGCTATAGTCATGAAAAGTCACACTTCCTACCCTGCAAAATGGAGCTAGGAATACCTGTCTTGCAGTGTTGTTGCTGGAGTAAAAGCACTGTCTACATGCTAGATGCTCACTGGCTGTTCCCCCATCATTGACATAAATGATACCCTGACCATGACTACCTGCCCCCAAGAAGACATAACATAGTGTGATCAGGCACGTTAAGTATCGTAGGAACATATTCTGGAAATACAAGGTATTGCGACTGAGTTTCTTTCTCGCTTAGGTAAAATGTCTTCATTCTGATTCTGAGGATAAACTTTTGTTGGAAAACGTTAAAGCAGGCTATCTCCCCCTCTTTTTTTTATTATACTCTATGAAGGAACTCCTGTTTTGGCGCTTTAGACAACTGACCCTTTGTTTTTTACACGAATCAGAAAAGATGTGTTTTTTTCCATATACTTGGAACGAGGCATTTTCAATTGTTAATAAGAAATCATACCAAAACAAATGCAGACTTGTTATCACTGAGCAGCACAAAACATAGGAAAAATAGTTTTTTTAAAAAGATTTTATTTATTTATTTTTAGAGAGGGAAGGGAGGGGGAGAGAGAGAGAGAGAGAGAGAGAGAGAGGGAGAGAGAGAGAGAAATATCAATGTGTGGTTGCTGGGCCTGGAACCCAGGCATGTGCCCTAACTGGGAATCGAACCTGCAACACTTTGGTTCGCAGCCCACAAACTACGCCACTGAGCTATGCCAGCCAGGGTGGAAGAATAATTTTTTAAACAAATTTCAGCTTGACTACCTCCAGAAGGCAGCAGAATAGACTAATATTTATTCTGCCAGCGTGGAAGGAAATGGATAGGCCTCATCTCTTCCTTTTAGGAAGACGTTGGCCACTAATGAGGCCCCTTGGAGCTAGGATAGCAAGAGCCATATCACTCAGAGGCAAAGAGCACAGATTGATTGAGAATACACGTGGTTTTTGATCCCATTGAAA